GATCTACACATAACTTCCTACCGGAGGCTACTATGCGGCGCCTTGCACTACAGCCTTCGGGAGGGGAGCAGCTGCGGGTCACTGTCGCTAATGGCGACCGCCTCCGATGCCATGGGCTCGCTCGGGACGTTCCCATTACTATCGGCAACGAACACTTCACCATCACGTGTGCCGGCATCGACTTGGGCTGCTTCGACTTCATCCTCGGCGTCGACTTTTTGCGGACACTCGGTCCCATCCTTTGGGACTTCGACGCCCTGACAATGACCTTCTGGCGCCTCGGCCGCCGCATCCGGTGGGAAGGCGTTGGCGGCACCCCGGCGTCACCCCCACTCCAGCTAGCCGCGGCCACCACGGAGGCCGAGCATCTGCTGCTGGATCACCTCCTGCAGCAGCACGGTGATCTTTTTGGGGAACCCCAGGGCCTTCCGCCGGCCCAGGTCTACGACCACCGTATTCATCTCCTGCCGGGCTCGGCTCCGGTGGCAGTACGGCCCTACCGGTACCCTCAGTTGCAGAAGGACGAGTTGGAGCGGCAGTGCGCCATCATGCTTGCCGCGGGCATTATCCGGATATCTACATCACCCTTTACGGCGCCGGTCCTCCTCGTCCGCAAGTCGGACGACACTTGGCGTTTCTGCATCGACTACCTCGGCCTTAATGCTCTCACACTTAAGGATAAGTTTCCTATTCCGGTGGTCGATGAACTCCTGGATGAGCTACATGGGGCGCGCTTCTTCACCAAACTGGACCTCCGGTCGGGGTATCATCAGGTGCGCATGCATCCCGACGACATCGCCAAGACGGCGTTCCGGACCCATCACGGCCACTTCGAGTTCTTGGTGATGCCCTTTGGCCTCTCCAACGCCCCGGCAACATTTCAGGCCTTGATGAACGATGTCCTCCGGCCCTACTTACGTCGGTTTGTGCTCGTTTTCTTTGATGACATTCTTATCTACAGCGCCTCCTGGGCGGAGCACCTCCAACATGTGGCCATCGTCTTCAACGAGCTTCGGGCACATCATCTTCATCTTAAGCGCTCGAAGTGCTCGTTCGGGACACCTTCGGTCGCTTACCTCGGCCACGTCATCTCGGCCGAGGGTGTGGCCATGGACGCAGACAAGGTGGCGGCCGTCGCCGCCTGGCCAATTCCGCAGTCTCCGCGGGCTCTTCGCGGGTTCCTTGGTCTTGCCGGGTACTACCGGAAGTTCATCCGGGAGTTTGGCCTCATCGCGGCCCCGCTCACGCGTCTCCTCCGTCGCGACGCCTTCTCTTGGGATGAGGAGGCCACTTCTGCATTCGAGGCCCTCAAGGGGGCCCTCACGACGGGACCCGTACTGCAGATGCCGGACTTCGACCTTTCCTTCACCGTCGACTGCGACGCCTCCGGTGCGGGGTTTGGTGTGGTCCTGCACCAAGGCGATGGACCCCTCGCCTTCTTCAGCCGCCCCTTTGCTGCTCGCCATCTTAAGTTGGCGGCGTATGAGCGTGAGCTCATTGGGTTGGTGCAGGCAGTACGCCATTGGCGGCCCTATCTTTGGGGCCGTTCCTTTCGGATCCGCACGGACCACTACAGCCTCAAGTTCATGCTGGATCAGAGGCTCTCGACGGTTCCCCAGCACCAGTGGATCAGTAAACTATTTGGCTTTGATTTCACCGTCGAGTACCGGCCAGGTCGCCTCAACACCGTTGCCGACGCCCTGTCGCGGCGTGACGCCGATGTGGACGACGGTGCGGCGGAAGGGGCAGCCTTCTGCATAATCACCGGGCCCTCTTTCGCCCTCTACGCCGACATCTGCCGGGCGACCGCTGCCGCGGCCGACGCCCTCCTCCTGCAGCAGCAGCTGGCGGCGGGCGAGCTGGAGGAGCCGTGGCGTCTAGCCGACGGCCTGCTTCTCCACGGACGCCGCGTCTTCGTTCCAGCACACGACGATCTTCGTCAGCAGGTGCTGCGTCTCGCCCACTCGGCGGACCATGAGGGAGTGCAGAAGACGCTCCATCGCCTCCGCGCCGACTTCTACATTCCAGGTGATCGTGCCCTGGTCCGTGACTGGGTACGGTCTTGTGTGACGTGCCAGCGCAACAAAACGGAGACACTGCGGCCAGCTGGTAGGCTTCAGCCCTTGGAGGTCCCATCTCAGGTTTGGGCGGACATCTCCATGGACTTCATCGAGGGCCTTCCCAAGGTGGGCGGTAAATCCGTCATTCTCACGGTGGTCGACCGCTTCTCCAAGTATGCTCATTTCATCGCCCTTGGCCATCCATATTCAGCGGCATCTGTCGCGCGGGCCTTCTTCGATGGCATTGTCCGTCTCCACGGGTTCCCTTCTTCGATCGTCAGTGATCGGGATCCTGTGTTCACGGGCCATGTATGGCGCGACCTCTTCCGACTGGCGGGCGTGAAGCTCCGCCTGAGTACCGCCTTCCACCCTCAGACGGACGGCCAGTCTGAGATCGTTAACAAGGTGATTGCCATGTATTTGCGTTGTGTTATAGGTGATCGCCCTCGCGCATGGGTGGACTGGCTCTCGTGGGCGGAGTACTGCTACAACACCTCTTACCACTCCGCCCTCCGTGCGACGCCCTTTGAGGTGGTGTATGGCCGGCCGCCCCCGCCGATTCTGCCGGTTGACCCGGCCTCGGCGCGGACCGAGGCAGCTGGGGCTCTTCTGAGGAGCCGTGATGAGATGCTCGCGGAGGTCCAGCAACGACTTCTCCAGGCCCAGCAGTTGGCCAAACGATACTATGATGGCCACCATCGCGAGGCGGAGTTCGCGGTGGGTGATTGGGTCTGGCTGCGTCTACTTCACCGCTCTATGCAGTCGTTGGACCCACGCGCGAGGAAGAAGCTCGGTCCTCGCTATGCCGGTCCCTTTGCTATCCTCGAACGCATTGGCAAAGTGGCGTACCGTCTTCAGCTTCCGGCAGGCGCACGGATCCATGATGTCTTCCATGTCGGGCTGCTCAAGCCATTCCGCGGCGATCCACCCGCGGCACCGCCGGCGCTTCCGCCGATCACGGACGGGCGTCTCCTTTCTGCACCGGAGAAGGCGCTGAAGGCTCAGCTGCGCCGCGGCTCCTGGTACGTATTGATTCGGCGGGCTGGGCTACCAGAGGAGGACGCTACTTGGGAACAACGCGTGGAGTTCCGCCAGCACTACTCCGACTTTCAGCTCGAGGACGAGCTGTTTGCGCAGGCGGGGAGAGATGTTATGACCGGCCAGGTCTATGGCCGTCGGGGGCCCACTGGGCAGGCTTAAGGCCCAAGTTATCTTAGTTTATTTTCAGATTATGGTTATATATACAAGTTGTAAGACTATTTTGAGAATCAAGCAATAAGACTATTCTATTGCCCGGCTCCCAGAGGAGCCGGAACCCTAAACCCTAGCCGTCTCTCTCCTGCGCCGCCGCCGCTCAGCCGCAAGGACGGCGCCTCGCCGCCGGCCGCCGTGCTCCAGCCCTCGCCCTGCTCCCTCCTTTCCCTATAATCTCCGCCCTAGAACCCTAGCTCCTAACAACGTACCATGACAATATAGGTAGCTCCTCTTTCTTTTCGTTCAGAGTTCAGTCTCCGATTTTTCGCCTGCACCATGACGTTTGTAAGCTTAGACATTTCAAATTATTTTTAGGATATCAAGTAGTACCCACTTTTCTGTCTCGTGTCTGTTCACTTAGACTAGTTAAAAAAAAATCATGTCAAAATGCCTATGGCTATCACCTACTGGTTATTGTAGATGGTTGCAGCCTGTCTTCAGCGTTGTGCCTTGCTTTGTTAGTTATCTTGAATGTTGAGTAGATTGATACCACCAAAATGTTCTCTCCATCTAAACTGATCTGAATAGGCTGTTTATATTGAAATTGAAATGGGCAAAATGGCAATCTTATTTCCTTCCCCGTGTGAGAAATTTGTACAGGTATGGGTGCCCGGGTATAGAGGAAATAGAGAATTTCAATAGACTCTATAAGCAGAAATTGGATGAGATAATTGAAAGAGGCGAAATACCCCTCGACCTGGCTCTTGAGGCAAGTCAGCCTGCCAAAATTTCTTACACAATGGTTGCTCCTGAATTTCGTAACCACTTACAAAGAATTAATCTTGTGTTTCAGATCTCATCACCAGGAGCAGAGCGACTTCTGAAGGTGCCGGATGATCTGGATCGCTTCAAAGATATGGCAATGAGGGTACAATACCATGCTGAAGGTGATGGCCTTGTTTCGGATCAGATGGATGGTATCTTCATGCTTGAGTCAGTAGACATTCAGGCAGAACACTGTGTTTGGAAGCTTGCGGACGTCAACGAGAACCGAGCTGGGAAAGGGAGGCCGTTGAACAGGAAACAGAAAAATTGGAGGCTGCAAACCTCATTTGATGCAGTGATGAAGGCAACCCTGTACTTGGACTGAAAACATTAGAAAGATCAACAACTTGATAATAGTAGTCTGGTTAGAGCTCTAAGTGATGTGATGAACATCATGTAACACTGGCAAAAGCTTGTTCATTTTGGGAACTGCATCCCGGGATTCTGGAGCAAGATATCTGATAACTGCCAGAACACATAATAGTGTGACGTTATGTTTCAGGGCCTCTTTGATTTGCAGGATTCTCAAAATGTGATTGGAATGTCATGCTCATCTCAATCCTACAGGATTTGGGGTTGTTTGATTGCATTTATAGGAAAAACAAAGGATTGTTCCAAAGAGTTTGATTGAATGCTAGAAATCGTATGGGAAGTAGTAAAAAAATCATTGGAAAAAATTCCAATAGGATTCAATCCTATGAATCAAACAATAACATAGGAAAAATTCTGAAGGATTTTAATCCTCCAAAAATTCTGAAGGAGCCCTTAGTGTTTGATGTAAACTTCACAGTATCATTCTTCTCATGATCATGCAGTAGCGAGGGAGTGTGCTGGCAGTTCACGTCTGCATTCAAAGATGTTCTCATGCAAAACGTTCGTTGGTACATTTGGTACTCCCTCCATATATAAATATAAGAGCATTTAGATCACTACAGCATCAGATAAAAGTAAAACAGGATCTATCCATCTCCACAACACTCGACAGCAAGTGTTGAAGGTTTTATTTATCCGTACATTATTTGCCTATCCCCTCGGACAGGCAAGAGAGGATAGCTTTTTATTCGGTTGCCAAGTTTGGAACATCAGATCGAAACAAACCGCGCATGCCATTACACTCCGCGCCTGCTCTTCTTCTTGAGAAATCTTGCCGGGCTGAAGGGCACAAGATCAACAATCTTGGCCTGCCCATCAAGGATGAGCTCGGCGAGTGCTGCACCGGTAGCAGGAGCATTGAGGATGCCCCAGCAGCTGTGCCCGGTTGCAACGTAGCATCCCTTCACCCCAGGCATCTCCCCGATGACCGGCAGCCCGTCATTGGTGCACGGGAGGTAGCAGGCCTGTTCCGCGACTACCTCTGCGCCCTCCTCTGTCTTCAGTTGGCTGGACACCCTCCCAGCGATCTTGTGAAGCATTGCAATGGAGTCCGGCTCCCCGTCAATCGCTGCCGGATCATCTGGAACATCCTCGTCCTTGCTCATTCCGCAAATGTACACCTCCCCTGTTCAAGGACAAACAGCAACAACTAGATGTTTAAACATGGGTGCCGTTCAGTTTGATGCACACATACTTCAGCTTGAAGAACTGCATACCCGTGGGGCGCGGGTAGACCTCCGGGTCGAGCATCTTGGCGCCGGGCTCCGGCTGGTAGCTCAGGAACAGGCAGTGCGGCGTGATCTTGTCGGGGTTGCGCGGCCGGAGCACGATGCTGTGCGCCTTGAGCCCGGACACGTCGAACACCTCTATGACCATCTCGAAACGCCCAGACCAAGGGCCGAGCGCGAGCACCACGGCATCCGCGTCCACCACGCCGCGCCCCTTCACCGCGACGCCAACGACACACCCTTCGCCGACCACCACGCGCTCCACCTCGCCGATGACCACCTCGGCGCCGGACGCGGCGAGGACGGCCTTGGTGAAGAGGCCCGGATGGACCTGCGCGGTGGTGTCCGGAGTTCCGAGCTGGCGCGGCGGCGCGGCGGAGGCGGAGGGGTCGACCCAGGAAGGGAGGAGCGGGTGGGGTGAGAGGGGCTCGGCGGGCTGAGAGGGGAGGCAGATGGAGAGGGTGTGGACGGGGCGGAAGCCGTACGCGTTGGCGCCGTCGAGGGCAGCGGCGAGGCGGTGGTGGAGACCGAAGGATGCGCGCGCCAGCGCCGAGAGTGCGGGGGTGGAGTCGCTCCAGTCGAGGGCGAGGAAGCCGCCCGCCTTGCCTGAGGCAGCGCAAGCGGGGGAGGACTTCTCGATGAGGGTCGGCACGGTGGGGGAGGCGGGGTGGGTGGAGAGGAAATAGGCCGTGCAAGCGCCGACAACGCCACCGCCGCAGACGACCACGCGGCGGGGCGGCGGGGCTGGCGCGCTGGCCATGATGTCGTCGGTCTCCGGATTTGGAGCTGCGGGTGTGTTGAACGGGAGGTGGAATAAAGTCGCGAAAACTCAATCCCTTTTGCAAACCTTCATTTCTATACTACTCCCACTATGTGCTTAGAGCATCTCCAACCGCCGCCGAATGCGTCACGCACTAAAAATTAGTTTATCGCCGTTCATCGTTTGGTTTGGCGCGGCAGGTAGCGCTGGTTCCAGCAGCGGTGCTAAAATGCAGCACGCGCAGCTCCAACAACGCGCAAAAATGCAGCGCACGACTCTCGCACAAACAACATATGCATTACAAACACAAGCAAAAAATCAAATACAAACAGATAAATCAATAATAAATAGTTTAATTTCGTTATTACAACTCAAGCAAACAGTTTATCGTTTAATACAACAAATAGTGTAATAACACAATAAATAGTTCAACAATACAACATCGAACGCACAAATCATGATGCTCTTTGTCGTCCATTTCATGCCCACCACTCCTCAATGAGATTCTTCTAAGGATCATCATGTGCTGCGGTACATCGAATGGCATGATAGGAGGCAATAAAACGGGCCACCCTTTCAGCCCCCCGTCACACTCGCACGGGATGTCTCAGGAGTTCATACTGAGAGTAGTCTACATCTTGGCCACGCTCATTCTCGATGATCATATTGTGCATGATCACACAAGCGTGCATGATGTACCAAAGCATTTTTTGATCCCAAAATCGAGCTGGTCCTCTCACAATAGAAAATTGGGCTTGCAAAATCCCAAAAGCTCTCTCCACATCTTTTCTAGCCGTCGCTTGAGTATTGTGAAAATCAAGACTTTTCTTACCTTCCGGCTTTTTCAACGGCTTCACAAGTGTTTGCCACTTTGGATAGATGTCATCCGCAAGATAATAACCATAGTTGAATGTACAACCATTTGCTACAAACTGCACCGGTGGCAAATCACCATTTGCAATCTTATTCATCAGTGGTGACCGGTTGACAACATTGATGTAATTCAAAGATTCAGGCATTCCAAAGAATGCATGCTAAATCCAAGTCTCTTGATCGGCCACCGCTTTAAGGATTATAGTGGAACCCTTTTTTTACCGTGGAATTGCCCATGTCATGCCTTTGGACAATTCTTCCAACTCCAATGCATGCAATCTATTGAGCCAAGCATACCTAGGAAGCCGCAAGCTTTGTTCATCTCCAATAGCCTTGCGGCATCTTCATCACTGGGAGATCTCAAATCCTCCTGGCCAAACACTTGGACAATTCCGACTGCGAAGCGCTTGACACACATGATGGCTTGTCTCTCACTCATAGCCAAGTGATCATCAACTAGATCAGCCGGGATACCGTATGCCAACATACGCAAAGCGGATGTCACCTTCTGAAAGGTGCTATGCCCGAACTCTCCGGCGGCATTCCTCCTTTGCTGAAAAAACCGGTCATGGCTCGCTAGTTTCTTTGCAATGCGCCTGAACAACTCGGTGCTCATCCTAAACCGGCGACGAAAGTACGACTCCGGGTATGTGGGATTCTCCACAAAATAATGCATGATCAATCTGTTGTGGGCATCGATCCTATCCCTCCAAATTTTCTGCTGACCCATAACCGAACCACCGTGCTTCGGTTTTTTATGGATGTGCATAGCTAGGATCATTGCAAGATCCTCCTCCTCTTCCATATCAAATTCTTCTTCGGAAGAATCATACAACGAACTCATCTACAATGTTGAATACTAGGCTATAAAAACTACAATCAACATGCACCAAATTCATGAAGTTGAGCAATACATACCTTGCGGGCGTTTTTTCGAACACCTTGCGGGCGTCGAGCGGCAGCAAGCGGCCGCACGCTGTTCGTCGGAGGACCACCGCGCGCGAGGGCGGCGGTGACTAGATGGAGGCGGAGGAAGCCGCCGCGGCGCGGGGATAGGCCGGGGAAGCGCCGGAACGGTAGTCGGGCGGCGCGGGCGACGGCGGCACCGCGGATGGATGTGGTGGGTGGAGTTGTGAGCGAGCGCTCGAGAGTCCAGCACACGGGAGTGGGCGCAGCAAATAAGCGGCGCGCGATGGCGTTTCGGCCCGCGTGCTGAACTAGATATGCCGCGCGCGCGATTTTTGCGCCTCCGCTGGAGCGCCCAGACCGGTAGCGCGCGCAAAAAAAAACTAATTTTTCAGCGCGGCGGCTATATAGAGCGGCTGTTGGAGATGGCCATTTTTTTACGCGCAGCATGGCGAAGGCTCCAGCGGCCGCTGCAAAAGATGACGCGCGAGCAGCCCCAGCAGGCGCGGTAAATATACGATGCTCGTGCCCAACACAAACAACATTTCACACTCAAAATAGAACCAAGAAGATCAAACACATAAAAAATAAATCAACAATAAATAGTTCAATTTATCACTATTAGAAAGGATGGAGAGGGATTGGCGGATTATGATAGATGTATTATTGAGCTTCGAGGGTGAGTATATATTGAGTACATGACTTGGAGGGCAAGAAGCCTCTTCTGGAGATAAGGTAGGAGATGGATTACAAATCCTAGAATACAAAATACATGTAACCCAAATATATCTCTAACATCCACCCGCAGTCGTAGCGGTAGCATCGCAGACAACAGGAGCGGCGCGGATAGTCAGACTGGAGAGAATAGTAGCCTACAGGCTGACATCCCCTCGCAGTCGGAGCGGGAGCGTTGTGGACGGTGTCACGTTGCGGCCGCGTTGACTGTAGAGGAAGCCAGCGAGTTGCTCAAGCGAGGTGATATCCCATTGTGCCGTTGTCGAGATAGCCGAGGGCGTGGGGTGGTGTAGTCGTGGTCGAGGTAGCCGTGCGAAGAACGCTATGATCCATGCCGAGTCGGGGTAGCCAGTGTCGAGGAAGTAGCCGTGGAGCCGCGGACGCAAGTAGACGCCGAGTTAGTCAAGGGCTCAGTGGTGTCGAAGTAGTGGTGCGCTTAGGAAGAAGACGTTGTTGACAACACACCGCATCGGGTTTGCCACGCTCGGGGACACATCGTGGACGTAGGCACGCATCGGCGTTGCCAGCATCCGAAATGCATAGACGGACGAAGACGAAGTTGATGAAGTGCCGCATCAGGCTTGCCAGGCTCGGGGACACATCATGGACGAAGGCACGTATCGGTGTTGCTAGCACCGGGCATGCGTAGATGAGGGACCTGCATGAGTTGTACGCCATGTCGAGGAGTCAGAGGGGGCTAGCAGAGAAAAACTCAATGACGGTTACGGCGACAAGCGGCGCGGGGCCAATGTCGCCAACGATGGTCGGAGTAGACGAAGTGGCCGGGAAGATCATAGCGACGCCGACGATGAGCTGGTGCTGGATGAAGACGAAGGAGTGGACTGGCGGCGGGGCTCGAGTGAGCGAGCTACAGCGGCGCTGAAGAAGAGCGGTGGCCGCGGCGGCGGCTTGGTTAGGAGCGCGGAGGCGATACTAGAAGTAGGTGAGGAGAACCCAACAGTTTGACAAAGACCGGCGAGGACAGTGGCGTTCCCGCGCCAAGGGAGGCGGCGCGACGCATACCACGTAAAGTCGACGCACAGGGATGGTGGAGTGGACCGCGGGCCTCGGCTGTCGGTGTTCTGGGAACCAGGGTACCCAGACTTGCCTGCCTGCGGCCCATGGCATGGCTCCTTCGACGGCCTGGTACGATCCATCTACAAGACCGACAAGACAAGACCCTCGCGAGTGACCAAGCCTCGCAAGGTGGATGGCACCAAGACCTCCCGAAGGAGCGGCCTCCCCAGGCAGCCTCTCGAGAAGCGGAGATTTCTATGGAGGTACCCAGCCTCATGAGGCAACGATGACGCTGCGGTTTCCTATTTGGTGCTAAGGAGGCAAGGACAGACGTGGGTTTCCGAGGAATCTGGCAAAGGTTTCCATTCCAGTGCAACGAGACCAAGACCACCAGCACGGCATGACGGATGTCACCCCCAAGTCCACCGCCGCGTCATGACTAGAAGCTTTGCATGCGAAGACCACCTTTCGTCAAGATAAGATGTACTACTTGTCCCCTTTCAAATTGGCCACTGTGGGATCCCTTCCCGACTATGTTTTTGGAGAAAGAGGACCGAGGCCACTATAAATATAGGTTAGCCACCACCATAGGGGGGATCCGATCCAAGGCTGGTCGACTCATTCCTCACCCTAACCTCGCGAGGCTGTTCATCCCTTGTACCAGTTCATCCCCAACCCCTTGTGAGGCCAATCCACCATAAAGTAGGAGTAGGGTCTTACACCGCAAGGTGGCCCAAACCTCGGTAAATTGCCGTGTTCATCTTCTTCCTTGCTTATGCGAATCGGGCTAGGCTGTGGGGCGACAAGCTTGTAGGCTGGATAGGTTGAGTTCTTCGCACACGCCCCAGAGTTTGAACCTTTCTCGGGTCTGCGGAGCCCTAAATCCGACATTTGGTGCTCCATGTAGGGGCGTGTCGAAGGCTGCTTCTCTGCCGACCGCGCTTCACCCTCACTCCGCGGTGCTGGCGCCCCACATTGTTGCATCCATCCTCGACGGGTCGCAGGCGCCGGCCTTGGCCTGCCACATCAAGTAGCTTCTTCATTGGGTGGGAGCTGCTCGGCCGCGGCAGTTGACTCCCACAAGCCACGCAGCGCCGGAGGTCGGCATCACCTTCGACTCCAGGGATCACCCCAAGATCATGGTTGGCGCCGGCGCGCTCCCCATGTTGTGCACGCCCACCATCAACAATATCGCGGTGACCAGCACCCTCATCGACGGTGTTGCTGGCCTCAATGTCCTCTCCGTGGAAGCCTTCGACTTGCTTCAAGTGCCTTACGACTAGCTCACCCCCACCAAGCCCTTCTCAGGGGTGGGCGACGGCTCCACTGTCCCCCTGGGGCAGATCCGCCTTCCTGTCACCTTCGGCACGCGCTACAACTACCGCATCGAACTCATCGACTTTGACGTTGCCCGCATCGACCTCCCATACAACACCATCCTTGGTATCCGGCCCTTGCCAAGTTCATGG